TATGCAGAAGGTCCGGGGTTCGTGCCCCCGTGGAGCTGTGGTCCATGGCCTATGGCCATGCAACCCTGAACAAGCCCAAAGTCTGATCTCGGAAGCTAAGCAGGGTCGGGCCTGGTTAGCACTTGGATGGGAGACCACCTAGGAAAACCAGGTGCTGAAGGCAAAAATTTAAAAAAAAAAAATCTCACTGAGAAGCAGGAGAGAGTGCCTGTCTCCTTTTTCCCTGAACCACATAAAATTCAGCAGAGGAGAAAAAAAGAAAATATCAGGAGAAGAGCATATGAATGCAAGATAAGGTTGACAGGACTTAAGAGAGTTTAAGTAGATGAAGGAATGTGGTTTAGAGAGTGGTGAGCAACTGGCCCCCATTCCATGCCTCCAGCCTTGATGGGAGGAAACTGAGTTAACCTTAAAAAGGACTTCTCTCCAGTGGAGACTTCGAGACACTACTTTTAGCAATCTCTGGGGTGTCTTCACTTCTCCTTGCCAACCCAAGTTATTCCCCCGATTTACCAAAGGATATAGGTGTGGTGACATCTTTTATCTAGAATCTTTATGAATATCCTGCATCTGTACAACACCAAAGCAAACATCTCTTTTGATCTTTTTGGTAAGCCTAAGCACGGGATTATCTCCCCCCATCACGGACAAGGAAACAGGGTAGTGGCTTGCTTGAGATCACAGTGAACTAGGCTTGCATCCCCTGGCTTTCCACCAAGCACTATGGACACCCGAGTCCCAGATGTTTCCAGTTGCAGCCATCATAGAGGAAGGAGTACATGAACAGACTGGAATCTCAGGATACTCCCAAGGCCCATGTCTTGCATTCTGCCTGGATGTCCTTCCACTTTTCTGTGACTCTGAACCTACTTGATCCCCCTATAGTATCAAATTAGAATGGCAAAACAGAGCCCTGAACATTTAGGAGGCATTCTCTACTCAATAAAAGTTGATGTTAGCGATCTCTTGAGGCAATACGTTTGCACATGCAGACTCCACTATTCAATCATTTGGCAATGAGAGGGAGTTACAGAATATCTAGGCACACTCCCACTGGTCTATGGCTGACTCCTTCTCAGCCTAAATGTCACCTGCTCGGAGGGGTCTTTCCTGACCACTGTGTAGGTCCAGCTCCCCTATCCCCATTTAAGATCACATCATACTGTTTATTTCTTTCACTCCACTTACAACATGATTCTATTTATGCTAATCTGGCTCTCTTCCAACTGGAATTTAAGCCTCAGGAACTCTGTTCTGACCACCTCTGTATCTCTAGTACCTGGCACAGAATAGGCTCTCAAATATTTTTTAACTAGATGATAGAGTAACAGAAAGAATGGGCTCTTTCACCAGATGTTAATTATTAATACCCTGCAACTAGACTGGGATAAAATGTTGATAATTGTTGTGAGTTTATTTTATTTGCGCCTTGACGTGTGTGTGTGTAAATTTCATTAATAAAAAGTTAAAAACATTGTTCATACCAGGGATTTAATAAGGCAGAGCAGAGACGAATAGCAGACCCTAATGGAGGCTCCTGGGGTCATCTCCCTCCTTGGAGGAAAGAGGAAGGCCTGCCACTGGCCACCACAGTGCTTTAGCTGAAAGCCAGTAAAACTGAACATATCGCTCAGAGAGAAAAGTAATATGTGTGGATCAGTTCTCAGCATTTCTGATGACTGCTATGAGAGTACTGATACATTTGTAGAGCAGTTATATTAACAAGGTACTTTCACTTATGTTTTGTTGGGACAACAGTGTGAGGTATTATTATCCCCATGCTTTTTATTTTATCTCATTCAAGGCCTAATCCAGATGCTTTGGAATCAGAAGATTCAAACTCTACCACTTACAAATCGAGTTTCCATTTCCTCATTGGAAAAGGAGAATACCAACCGCCTACTTCATGAGAGTATAGGAACACATAATGGGGTATGCTTAATACCATGCTAGACATCTGGTAGACAGTCAATGTTATGCACTCACCCCGGACATTGAGGCTGGTGTCTTAACACAGTGCCTGGATGCCTAATTAATTATTTGCTAAATTTTAAAGACAAAAGGTCCACAAAATGTAAACAGACAATAAGTGGAAGAACAGGTCCTTGAATCAGCACTTTGAGATCAAGTGCTTTCTGCAACACCAGGTTGCCTCTCTGGTAGCTTGAAAATATACCATTTTCATCCCACTGACAGTAGTTTTGCATAAGCTTGGACTCACCTACTAATACAATGTAAGCAAGTAAAATGATTCTTTTGTTTAGTTCTTCATAAACTTCCTTTTTTTCTCATTCTCTCATCTAAAATCCCTGTTCTGGAAAGTGTTGTGTTGCCTTACGGGAGAAATCCATTTTTTATATTTGTTAAATTTTTTAAAGTGAGGCCTATACCCATGCCACCCTGAACACTCCCAATCTCATCTGATCTCAGAAGCTAAGCAGGATTGGGCCTGGTTAGTACTTGAATGGGAGACCGCCTAGGAAGACCGGGTGCAGTAGGTGTAAAAAAAAAAAAAATTAAGTGAAATGTGATTAGAAAGTTATATAGCACTGCAGCTTTAGTCTAGACACCCAGGACTACAAGCCACCAAGATGGGAGAACAGCTGGGTCACACTGAGTTTGTATGCAAGCTCCCCAGCCTCTGGTAACCGGCCCGTGCTAGCTTGCTGAGCCTCCTAAAGCATGGAACAGGTCTCTGTGACCTACCCAAGTATTTCCCAACCATCATAACAAAAGTGTTTTGAAGCACAAGATGAAAAGATGTGATCAAAGAGGTCAAAGGTGTACACTGCCAAGAGAAGAAAACATGAGATGGTTTCCATGTGATAGGGGGCAGGAAATGTGTGGGCAGGAGGTGCTCAGGGCTGGGCTTCCAGCCATTGCAAAGAATGGCAGGGAACAGACTATGTACAGTGGTTGTGGCAAATGGCTTCCGGCCCCACAAAAGCGCACAGAAAATAAAAATAAACCCACCCCTAAAGGTGGTGAGCTAGAGGCAGCAGCAAATACTAGGCTACATCTCACTCTGTATTGAATACTGTGGTACTCAAAATCCACTTGTTCAACATGCTGTATTGAGCACCCATGTGCCAGGCCCAGGGGAGGCATTATTACAACACAGCCGGTAGGTGTAAGAAAGGTCCAGAGACAGAAAGAGACATCTAATGAACAGAATATCTATCCTGGTGTAGTGCCTCTCATCTACCATGTCTTCAGCTACTTCAGCTAAAAACAGAGACACCATTGAATCAGAAACTCAAGAAAGTAGGGGGAGGTAGATTCGGAGTTGCAAGTAATGCATTTTTTTAAGCTTGAAGGAATAGTTCCACAGCTACTTCTTTTGCATAGAGTTGAGAACCACTAAGCCAGTCAATAGAAACCTAAAGACAAATGAGTCACCTTTAATGAGCTTTTAACTAAATTTAAGCTAAAGACTCCAGAAACAGTTTGGAGGTTTTTGTCCTACTGCAAATGGTGAAAAGACATATGAAAGAAGGTTTCCTGTTGATTGATGGTAACTGGCTTGGGTAAATCACCTCTGAGACAAGAGCTAATCCGATAAATGGGAATTTAGAATCTGTCCTACGTATCTCAATATCATTGGGAGATATTAAAGAAAATCTGTATATTAAAGGCTCTGAAAATTGTCTTCTTTGATAAAATTACTATTACTTCCAGTTTTCAACCCATTTGTCTTAAGTTCAGCAGCTTTTCTTATTCGAAACATGTTTATCAGACTAAAAGTAATCCAGAAGCCTCCTGACAAAGCTAGATGATATCTGTATATAAAAGTTTTAAAGCAAATTACATTGATCAATCATAATTTTATATCAGAGTTACATAAAGAGCTAATAATACATAGAAGCCCAAGCTTTTACCAAATTCCCAGGTAGTTGTGAAATATACCAAATTTGAGAACCATTGCTCTAGATCAGTGCTTCTCAAACTTTAACATATGCATGAATTACTTGGGACCATATTAAAATAAAGATTATGCTTCAGTAAGGTCTGGGGTGGGGCTTGAGTCTCCTTTTCAAATAAGCTCCTAGAAGATGTCAATACTGCTAGTCAATGGGCTACATTTTGATATCAAGAATCCAGAGCAGTGCCTCTCCACCTTGGCTGCACATGAGAATCACCTGGATAGCTATGCAAAGTACCCCCAGAGATTCTTATTGGTCTTAATTGGTCTGCAGTGTGACCTGGCATTGAGATTTTGTTTTTAAGCTCCCCAAGATATTCTAATGTGCAGCCAAGTTGGAGAACCTCTAGAACACAATTCATCATCTCAGCAGTCAGCTAAATTTAAATAGTGGAATTCTCAGCATGGCTCATTTCCTATTTTTGCATCCAAGATGGAAATGGGGCTGCTGGCATGGTACATATAAACATGCCTGGGCTTCAGCCGGCATACCTATCATTCTATCCAAGCTGTGCCTTCAAATCTGGTCTTAAGCAAGTTACAAATATAAGCTTCAATTTCTTCAACTAATGAGGACTGGGACCCCTGAGATAACTGCAAGAATAACGAGAGAATATTTGTGAAATATTCGGAGAGTACTATATCCTATAAATAACCATATATACAAAACCCTCACTCTTTGCACTCTGCTTACATTGCCTAAGAGATGCTTATTTCACTTTCCGCCAGGAAAGCATAATCGAAACAGCCATAAATGTGGAAGCACACAGTTCAATTTATAACAAAGTGCTTCATGACACCGTTCCAGGAATGCTTTGTGTCGTAAGAGCGGAATCACCTGTAACAACGAAGGATTAGTAAAGGATTACCAACTCCAGGGAAAAGACAAAGGACTGTCTTCTCCCAGGGTTGTCAGCACTGTCTTTTGTCATTAACTTCAAATTCACTTAATCAAAACATGAAAGTAGATTCAGAGTTGCAAGTTATCAACTCCTAAAGAGCTCTGCACAGAGGATAGAAGGAGAAAACGGATTCTGACACCAGTAAAGAATAAAAACAAAAGACAGAGTCAGAGGCATTGAAAGGAGTGGCATGGAATTTAATGTGGAAGGCAAAAAAGATACACTTAATGGAGGGGAGAGGTCATGTTAATAAATGCTCATTATGAAGTCGTTCTGATAGAGAAGAGAGGGAACTTCTCTGGCTCCACCAGCGCACCAAATCAGAGCCGGCAGTAAGTATAAGTCTGAAGATAGTCCATGTGTCCAGCAAGCTGCCATCTTAAGAGCTCTTCTCCAAGGGAAATCAAAAAGTAAACCTAAAAGAAAGAAGTAGAAAAGTAAGAGGAAATATCCAAGGGTTTTTTTTTTAAATGTCTTAGGATACTACAGACAGGGCCCCAAATCCTTCCATTTAAATTCTAAACCCACAAACACAAAGACTGCAATGGAGTTCCCAAATGCTGGGCAGTATTTAAGCCAGGCTATAACCAGAAGAAAGCAAACATTTTTCACAGAACATTTTATAGAGGAATCCATAAAACTTCAAGTTCAAATCTGAACTCCAGTGCACCATGGCAAAGGTGACTAGGAACTGGTAGACCTGGGTTCTAACTCCAGCTCTACAATTAATTGGCTGCATGCCTTTACAGAATTCCCTCTGACTGCTAGCCCACAAACTCTTTGAAGTGAGGAGGTTGCAATTCAGCCTAAGGAGCTTCTCTGGATCTAGAAAGCTTATAAAGCATTAAATGCCCATTTTGGGGAGGATGGAGGAAGAAAGAATTCAAGAGAGAAAGTCTAGAAAAATTCCCAATCTCAGATTTAACAAAGGAAATACAGAAGAAATAATTTCGCTTTCATTTAAAGATAAGGTTCTTTTTGGCAAGAAAGTGGAGAATAACTCCAAGTGTCCACAATGCTGCTAGTCAGACGAGACTGGGAGCTGGAGCTGTGAAATGGCGCCCCGCCTCGCAAACACAGGCTTCCTTTCCTGTGCCTCCCGGAGAACTGTGCCACAACACGGGTGCAGTCAGAGAGTGACCCCTGGGCCCAGGGGCTCCAAAGACTCCAGCCATAAGCAGCCGATTTTCCTGCAGTGAGCCATAAGAATAATGTAATCTTCTATGTGTGTCATGACTTGAAAATAATGTAATTTTCTATGTGTGTCATGACTTGAAAATAATGTAATCTTCTATGTGTGTCATGACTTGAAAAAGGTTGGGAAACACTACCTTTCAGAAGAGCTGGGTACTTTGTGTATTGGCTCTGACCTGGAGGTTCCAGCACCAGAGCTTAAAGGAAAGGTCTTAGACTTCTAGCCAGAGTGCTTTTATTTCACTAACAATGGTATTTAGAGAAATGCTACATAATTGCTGAACATTCTTACATCAGTGGAATTGTGAGAAATGTGTTAAGAGCGAGCAAAAATGGAATGAAAAGTGCCAAAGAAGAACAAACAGACCTATTAAACTCATCTTTTCACTCCGTCAAATTTCTTAAAGTAACGGAGTATGAATTAATATAACACATCAGTTCTAATGGTTGAGGTGAAAAAGGACTAGAACATAGGGCCATTTCAGTGAAGAGCCTTGACACATTTAGAATTATAAAAGAAATACTAGTTTAGTACAAAAGTCAAGTTTTGACATTCTATGATATAAAAAAATTTAGATCTAAGACAGTGGGGCTGGTCCATCGAGAAGGCAAAACGACTCATAAGAGTCTTTGATAGTGGTTTTCAGAAAATTCTATTTACAAAGATCTGCTCCCTTCTTTGAAGGCAAAAATATATTCACCAGACAGTATTCTAAAAGCAAAGGTTCTAGGATTCTTTGAAATGTTAGTTCAATAAAATTGGACTGCTCAACAGCTCAGAAGAACGGTATCCCCTGCTAACCGAAAGATAAAGGTTTCAGGAAACTTACTAATAAATTTTCTTCCCATTATCGAGACATGCAAAATGGAAGACACTTAACTGAGATAAGTTAGCATGACTTCTTCAATCTATTTCACTCCTGCAGAAAAGACAGCACCACTTGACCAGTCTGTTCTAATCATCTTAAAAGAAAGCAAGGCACAATGCAAAGAACTGTTAAAAAATAATTACTCCCTGTATAGGTATGAAAGATAAGGCCAGACAGGGTCATTTCTATTTGGAACCTGTATTTCTCTCCAGCACCATCTCTATTCAGACACTAGTACGGAGCAGATACGCTCGAATACTGATTTTCCTTCAAATCCATCTCATCCAGAATCTTGGTCACCCAATTAAAACTGAAATTAGAGAAAATGCAAATCAAAGACCATTCTGCAGAAATTCTAGGTTCATTGCTCAATTTCAATCACTATAATTTCAGAAGGCACAGATAGTATATTTCTAAAAACGAAAGGAACTTTAAAGATCAACTAATCTAATCCTCTCATTTTATAAATGAGGAAACTAACCTGAAAATTTGACAGATCTGTCCAGAGCAGTTCTGTCCAACACCATGGCCACTAGCCACAAATGACTATTTAAACTTAGTTAAAATTAAATGAAATTAAAAAGTCAGCTCTTCAGTCACTTAGCCGCATTTCAAATGTTCGACCACATGTGGCTGGTAGCTACCATACCAGCTAGTGCAGACTTAGAAAATTCCCACACTGTAAAAAGTCCTAATGGACAACGCTGGGTCCAGGGTTACCCTCTCTGGATAAAGTCAGTTCTCCTGCATTTCTTCTGGATCGTATTAAAGATGACCAACTTTGCTGAAACATTTTAGATAGGCTAACTTCATCCTACCTTATCAACCTTTCCTGTCTTAAAAAAGAGAAGTTTAATATTTTGAATGAAAACCTTCTAACAAGCTGTGTATATATATTCATCACCCAAAAGTCTTTAAGCAAAATAGAAAAGGAAAAAAAATTCTGGAGTTAAAATGTCTGTTATTAAGTTCCCCCTCAGTCACTTATTAGCTCCAGGGCCTAGACAAGTCAACTTAAATTTCACCACAGTTACTTCATGTGTAAAACAGAAAGACTATTTGGGTACTTCCACCATAGGATGGGCTGTGAGGATCGCATGGGTTAGTGTGTGTAAAAGTGTATGTGGAATGTATGTGAGTCCTGCAAGCCTGGTGATAACTCTAAGACATTTTACAAATGTCTAATTTTGTAAAAGGCCTTGTATAAACATTGTGTATTGTTATAGTCACACATTAACTTTCTACCTCCTGTGAGTGAATAATGAGAATCTGGTAATATGGATTTAAAAAATATATTTTTTTGAAGAAAAAAGAAAAAAACAGCAAAGCCCAACTGAGGATCTACACAAACAGCTCAATCCTCCTCAAATACAATGAGAACTATCATGAATTCTACAAATCAGAGACTTTAACAGCTACGAGAGACTGATGACAATCCCCTCACTATGCAGACAGGGAAACTAAGGCTGAGGGAAAGCTCGTCTGTCCATTCTACCCAGCACTCCACGACAGAACAAAGCCCACGATGCAGGCCTTTCAACCTCCAGGCTCCTGCTCGTGTCCCACCTCACAGTCCCTCGTATGAATTCTCTTGGCTTCTTCCTTCCACGGTATTTTCCACATGCCTTAGCATCCACTAAACTATTGATATAACTATTTTATATAGCATTTTCTTGCACTTGAAAATGATTTATTCATCATGCGCTCATTCGACAAACACACACTGTGACTGTTAGCCTGTGCTAAGCCCTGAGGTCCCTACCCTCAATGGGAGAGACAGGAAAGTAAATGAATAGTTTCATAATGATGTGGTAAGTGCAGCATTAGAGGCATGCACAGTGGACCCCTGAGAGCCCCTGAATAGGCTCCTATGCAACCTGGAGGCAGGGATGACTTGGAGGGGGAATCATCAAGCTGCACAGATGGAGAAAATAAGGCAGGAAGTGAGGGCAACAATGAAATTCATAAACACAAATCTACTTGATTTTCCTCTTTCTCTCCCACCATCTCCCTCTCTCTCCTACCCTTCCCTTCCTACACTCTCTCAGCTTTAAATGGACCAAATTCAATAGAGCTCAATCACCCATTAGAGTCATCAATTAGTGTTTTTTAGTAAACAAAATAAGCAGATTCAAGGTTTTAAGAATAACAGGTAAAGAATTAATCTCGCCCTCCGAGGAAAAAGGTTGTTAAGAAAAGATTATGCTATGCTTAATTCAAAATATGTGCTATAAATCTAGAATAGTTTCCTTTCTGAGAACTTATTTGGTGGCTGAATCTAATTCACTATAGGTGAAATCTCAGGGAAAATAAAATAAAAAATAAATGGCCACTCCCAACAAAAAATTAAAGATTATTGCCAGTGGAAGGTCATGTTGAGAGCAAAAACAGGTCTAGAACAAACCAAAAGGGAGCTCCTGAACTGACAATATACGAAAAGGAAATAAACCCTTGGTCTTCCCTGTGTAACAAAAGCCTTGGGCTACTGGAAGGCTCCATGCCCTTTGTGCCTAACTCGACACTGCCCACTTCTGGCCAGAATGTAAAGCAACCCCCACGCAGCATCTGAGCCCACCTGGACCTCTGCTGCCCTCCTGTGACTGGGAAAAAAACTAGGTTTTACCACAAAGATATCGGGGCTTCTTCCCAGAGACTCACCTCTTCTTATGCTTTGTAGTACATTCTCTCATCACATGAAATGTATGATCCACTAGGTGGCAGTAGAGCCTAAAGAATAATATTTAGATTCCTTTCTGAGATAATTCTCTAGATTACTATACTTCACTGATGAATCTGAAAAGCCAACAGTAATTGCGTATTTGTAAATAGTACTACTTGTCAGTTATGTTCTCCCCAGCCTTGTAGCCCCCTTGCTCCAGCAAGGATTAAACACTATGAAGTTTTAAAGACATCCGGGAGAATAATCTCCATTATAAAAACAAAGCAACGCTAACAAGGTTTTAACACGAGCATTAGCCAAACCATCTCCACCAGGCTAAGCAAACTTCCAAGTTCAAGTCTGTCCCTTTGCACCCATTTCACTTTACCCTCTGATCCAAGGCCCAAGTCCAGGAACTTTCCTCTCTAAACCGTGATCCAATGTAGCTATGTCCCTCTTTTTCATTTCTCTTGAGAACACTTGAGATAGGCTGACATATTTTGTTTTTAAAGAACTGCACCGAAACATAGAAAAACAAAACAGGATATAATTACAGAAAGTATGTGAATTTTTAAATATTCAAATCTACTGAGCTTCTGTGTCATGCATTCATTCAAAAGATTCACTGTCACCTAAGCACCAAGCATTGATCATCATTTTAGGTGCGCATGAATTCTCCCAGCTCAGAAGCTTACTAGAAGCATTTTTCACTTTTGCATTTTCATTTTCTTGATAATCTAAAAAATACTGAGTCTGCTCTCGCCCACCGGGACAGCCATCTTTAACCAGTGCTGCCAACTAACTGAGCAGCTTTTACCACAGGGCTTCTCAAGCTGCCACCTTTGGACATGTTTTCAGGAGACCACAAAGTCTAAAGTTTGGAAAAGGTTGTGTTTATCAGATCTAGGTTTTATATTAGTCCTGACTGAACAAAACTGCCATGAAGAAGTTCAAGCCTTATAGCAGAGGGACGGAACTGAGACTGGAGAGGAATTCGAAGGGATTCAACTAAATCTATAATGTTTAATCTGTTCAAAATCCATTCATTCTAGGTGGTGGAAATATGGATGTCTGTTATATTATTCTCTGTACTTTTCTGTATTTTTTAAATTGTCTTAATAAAAGCAAAGAAAGGGAAGTAATAAGGGGGAGGATGGTGATGCAAAAATGAGAAATAAAAATTTTAAGTCAGACTGTATTATCAGACTAGTTACAAGACTTCCAGCAAGTCTCTCTAAACCTGTTTCGCATCTCTAAATAGAATTAGCAAGCCTATCTTCATGAGATAATTTTGAAAATAAGACACAGAACGAGAAGCACTTAAAGCCTGGCCTACAGTGAGCTCCCACTATGTTAACTTTCTTACTTCTCCTGGAATAAACTTTTTTTTAACTCAATGCCATTTTCTTTTGATCTTCCTTTTTCAGAGTAGCTACTATTTTAAATGTCACTCCCAAATTCATCCAAGAGTGGTACACTAGATTTTTTTTTTTTTTATACCCAACTTTCAATGTACTTGGCAAGTATGAAGAATATTCAATCTGTTTTGTTCTACCTTCTGAGTTGGTATAAACATTGAGAACTTACTTGGAAACTATTTTAAAAGTGTTGTGGCACACTGCACATAGAACTGAGTTAAAAGCACATAAAAAGGGCAAATACATGCTAGGTTAAAAACTGAGAGCAGGACAGTAAAGTATATGTCAAATGAACGATCTCTATGAAAAACCCCTGAGCAGTCTCCCAGAGAACATACTCTCTATAAAATGATTTCACACTGCCATATGAGATAAGAAGATTTTGCTGTACCTTGGGCCCATAATTCCCAGCTGAACAGGTGGCCCTAAGATGTTATAATAATCTGCAGTACACAGTTTCTGCTGAGCCTGCTTTTTTCTGTCTGTTTTTGTCATAATTTTGAAATACTAAGCTCTCCGCAGCAGAGTCCTCCTCCAAACGTGACATCCCTAGGAAATAATTCTCCATGATTTGGTAGCTCCCTGAGCCCAAATGTTTGGGCTGTCCCTTTCTTAAGCATACACGTGACTCATCTAGAAAAACTTGAGAAATCTAGAATAAGATAATCAGAAGACTTATGACCTTTCCAGCAAAGTTACTACCAGACAGCCCAAGTTATCCATGATGTTTGCAGGTTTAAGGTCAATGTCGGTGAGTCAGCTTCCTAGCTGTACTAAGGAGTTACTGGTCAGACACTTCATCTGCTGTCTCTGCTCCAGATGGTACAGTGGCTCCCTTCTCTGGACTTCCATGGCACTTTGTCCACATCTTTAGTGTGGCTCAAACTACGCTTTCTTTAACTGCTATGTTTACATGCCTTCTCCCCTACAAGAAGGTAGAAGCTATAGTTTACTTTTCTTTGTATTTCCAGTAACAAGGCATTGAGTGACACATAGAAAGGGAAGAAGAGGAAGGACAACTCGAAGTCCTCATCAGTTCTCCAAAGAGTTAAACTGTATTAGAATAGCAGAAAGAGATGGTTCTCAAACTTTTTCACTGAAATAAACAATCTGTCAACTTATCACCACCAAAAATGAAACCTTATCTGAACTAACAGAACAGTTTTTGAGGGACTATTAACTAATATAGAAAAGGATCTATATTAATATTATAAGTAACTAATTAATTCATGCCAGAAACTGAAGTATAGTCATTGTCACATTATGGCATTCACTTTGTATGGTTGCTCTAACTCTTGTGTTGGATTTCTGATCAGTACAAAAATGCTAGTGATAGAAAAAAGTTAGTCCTAGGATCTTCTTCCCCAAATAGGATAACATTACCTAAGCTTCTCTTTTCTCTACCACCTACTAAGAGCAACACTAAATTTTGTAATGAAAAGGCAAAGAAAACAGTGCATTCATTCATCAGTAAGCTACATGGGTACTGGAAGAACACTGAACCAAGAGTACCACTGCACTATTCTGTAAACACTTAGCTATATAGTCAGGAAAGGCCACTAGACCTGTGTTCTGAACCTCTGCTTTCTTAATTATAAAATGAGTGTTGAGACATAGTTTGGAAAGCACCATGTACTTCTTAGAGCTTTCAGAAAATCCTTGAGAGGGAGGCATACCACATAAGAAGGAGAGTCTAAAAACAGAGGGCTTTTCAACTTCTGTCGATGAAAATGATTCCAGCTTCACTGCTACTTTATATACTGAGATTCTATATAAGAGTTTGTTTAGAAAAAGAGCTCTACTGTTAATGAACAAATGAACAAACAAACAAAAGAAAGAAGAGAAAAAAGAAAAAACAAAGCAGGCAGGCAAATAAATGGCCACAGTCAATCATTCAGCATATATTATACTAGATGTCTATCCAGTGTAAGCACTATACTAGGCACTACAGAGACAGTGGCCCAGCATTTAAAGTCATCTGAGAACAAAACCAGAAAAAATTACAGAGCAAATCTAAAAGCAAAACCTACAACTTTGTCTCTTCCAAGATCTCAGAGTTATTTTCATGGAGTTACTGGTGCAGAAATTAATGTGTTAGCTACAGGCAAACTCTCATTTTCTGTTATCTTAATGATTTGCAGAACAGTAAGAAGGCAATGACCGAGAGTGACAGCACTGATGAAGCATGATGATATTAATGCATACTTTGAAGACAGAAAATTCTGCAAACTCTTATGAGCAATATGGGAACACTGCCAACCATGATCAAAACCAGCCCCACCAATTTCTATTTCTAAAATCAACATGATGGGACAAAGGCTACGATCATCACTTACATTCTTCTCTTCTCCCACTCCTCAATTAAGCAAATGGGACTGATTCAGCCAACGAAGTTCATGACAACGAGGTGCAAGATGGTGCTGGCAAAGAGAAAATCAGCAAAGGCTCGTTCCGGGGAGATGCCTTGGAAATCTGCTTTGTTCTGTGGGTTGATCTGTATTCTCAGACAAACTGTACAAGAAACAAAACACAAAAATAATTATCTAGAAGTATGAAACAAATATGAATGCTAATCAACACACACATACCCTGCGACCCAAAAGTTCCATTCTAACAGAAATGATGCATAAATGAATCAAAAGGCATGTACAGGAATAATACCCATGGCAGCCCCAAACTGAAAACAATCTAAATGTCTATCAACAGTAAAATGGATAAATTATGGCCTATGCATACAATAGGACACTAAACAGCAATGAAGGGGGGTAAAGGGGGGGGTAAGGGGAATTGGAGGAAGGTGGTAAAAAGGTACAAAATTCTAGTTACAAAATAAATAAATGCTAGGGACGTAAGGCACAGCACGATGACTACAGCTAACACTTCTACAATGACATGTAGAAAAGTTGTTAAGCGAATAATTCCTATGAGTTCTAATCAAAAGGAGAAAAAAATGTTTTTCTTTTACTGTATCTATATGAGAAGATGGATGTTAGCTGAACCTATTGTGCTAACCTTTTCACAATGTGTAAATCAAACCATCATGATGAATGCCTTAAACTTATACAGTGATATATATCAATTATTAATAAAACCGGGAGGAGGGCGAGGAATCAGCCAAAAACAACAACAAAAATTAAAAAAGGAACTTCATAACATGGATGAATTCTACAAATACAAGCCAGGCACAAAAAAAATAAATGCTGTATGATTCAATGTATATAAAGCTTAAAATAAGGCAAAACCAATCTACGGTAATACAAGTCAGGATAGCGCTTTTTATCTTTCACAGGAGAAGGGGTAACTGGTAAGGTACAAAGTAGAGGCCTCTAGGGTGCTGGTAATGTTCTATATCTTAATCTAGGTGATGGCTAGATGGGTGAATTTAAAAACTCATCAAGTTGTACACTTAAGTTTTATGCTCTTAATTGTTAAAGGAAAAAATATAACCTCTCAGAATTGGGCTAAAAACCAAAGGCTCGCTCAAGGAAAAAAAATACATATATATATATATATATATACATCTTCAGAACTCTCCAAAAAATATCTTCAGAACTCCCTTACCTCCTGATTTAAGTTTATAATTATATCTAGATTGGAATGTAGTTGAGGCATAATAAAGGTACTAGGCTAAATGACAAAAAGTTATAAAATGATAAATAACTTTCAAGAGAATGTGATAATATTGTATAGCAGAGATTATAAATATCCATGAGGACCTCACAATTGCAGAAAATCTTTGATCTCAAAGTTCCAGCAGTTGCTCATGTCAAAAAAGGCAGGAGACCTAAGTTATATTATTAACTTTGACAGAGAACTCTCCACTGCCACATTCTATACCCTTGAAGATTCCACCCCGATGCCTTAGCTGCAGTCACCATCTGACATGAAAAGGGAGCTCCAGGAACATACTTCCAAAATATCTGTATGCCTGCGATAAATGATTATACTACTTAAGAAAACTCAAATTTGCTTCAGGCTAGAATCCATCCCCTCACTAACCAAGAAAAGGAAACAACTGAGATCTAACTCAAAGATCAGAAAACTAGGAAGACTATGTCTCCAGGGTCCGTTACCATGGCAACGGAGTTTTCATTATACTTAAACATGTAAACATTGTGGAAGCACAACTGATCTTTCCAAGCACCTAGACCCTTCAAAATATAAAGAACACCGACTGAAGTGAGAGCAACCAATTAAAATCCTACTGTGAATGGAGTACAGATTGGTTCACACATTTGGGAGAGCAACTGGCAATGTTTATTAATATTTAAAATGTTTTTACTTTTTGACTAAAGACTTTATCTTACATTTTAAGAGTATGTTTGTAAAGTATGTTTGTAAAGAATTTATCTTACATTCTAAGAGTATGTTTGTAAAGTTGGAAAAAAAAATGAAAACGGTCCAAATGTCATCACGGGGATTAAATATATTATACTGAAATCCCATGCAATTATTCAAGAAAATGAGATAAACTATAAGTAGACAGTAAAGATGGCCAAGATACATTAAGTGAAAAAAAGGGAAAAAACTTTTCCATTCTTAATTTCTCTTTACACACACACACACACACACACACACACAGAAAAATAGATACCAAGCTATTAACAGTGGCTATTAGGGTGGAGGACAGGGGTAGAGTAGTGTTTGGGGAAATACGGGGGGACAAAAGAAAAGAGAAGCTTTCCATGAATTCCATGAAGGTGGATAATGGGCTGATGTGTTACCATTATCATGATCATAGAAACCCAAGTTATTCCAATGACAACATAAGAATCACCATCCCCCAGAGGTGCAAAGGACCCTGGAAGTCATAAAGACCAGCACTCCATTTGATGCATAAAATGCCCAGCAGGTGGTAGGGGTGGGCATGCTGGGAGAGGCTGCATGAATCACCCAGGAATCTTTCCAAAGTATATTCACCATTCCAGAACCTGATAAGTCATCCCCAGGTAAAAAATCACAAACTTTCCCAAATCTGATAGGGATGTCATATCCCTCTGATGCACTGGAGTAAATAAAAGGCAAAAGACGCCTGTTCAAAAGCTCCTCCACAAATGATCCTTTAGTCTCTCCCTGAGTACTTCCAAAGTTGGAAATTTAATATCTCCTGAGGCAGCCTGCTCCATTTAAGTAGTTCTAATTTAATCTATCTCCTTAAATGTTCATTTGTTCAGCCAAATATTTACTAAGCATCTACTATGTGCCATGCATTGTCCCAGATGCTAGGAATATGGCACAGAATAAGACAGACAAGAGTCTGGATCCTAAGAAATTTATATTCCAATGGAGAGAAATATACAAGTAAGCAAATAAAGAAATATGAGGTAGTGGTATGTGCTATGAAAAAAATAAAACAAGGTAATAAGAGGGTGGCTGGGAAGATACTTTTCATTTAGTAGTCACAGGTGTCTCTAAGGAGGTGCTATTTAAGATCAAAATTTGAAAGAGTGGAGTCAACCATGCAAAGATCCAGGGGCAGAGCATTCCAGGTAGCGAGAACAATCTTGACATGTTCTTGGGAGAGCGGCCAGACTGACCAGACTGATGTGATCAAGGGCAAGAGGGAGACAAAGGCCAAATCCTGTGGGCTTTGTAAGCTTCAGTAAAGAGCCTGGATATACTTCTAAGTGCAATGGAACAACATTTAAGAGTTTTGAGCAGATGAATAAAATAATCTGATTTACACTGTTTAAGGTTGCTAGAACTACAATGTGGAGAATAGTCTGCAGAGTTAAAAAAGCAGAGAAATCACATAGGAGCAGAAGAGTTCAGGTTATGGTGGTAAAAATGGACAGAAGTGAAGAGATATAGGCTATATTTTGGAAAAGACAGGGCTTGCTGATGAAATGGATGTGGGAGATAAAAGAAATCAAGGGATCAAGGAAATCTAAATTTTTGGCTTTAACCACTCAACCAATGTTGACCATGTACTCACAGATGAAGAGGCAGATGGCTAAGCAGGAAGGTTCAATCTGGAGTTGATATCAGACATCAAGTAAAGATGTCAAATGGCTAGGTGAATTTAGTAATCTGGAATTCGGGGAACAGATCAAAACTAAAAATATAAGTGTGGTAGTTATAGCTATACAGACATTACTTAAAATCACCTATGGAAAGAAATACAAAGAGAAGGGGTTAAGAACCATGCCCTCAGACAGAGAATCACCTAGCATAAACAGCAGGAAGGAAAAACTAATCAGGTGAGAAGAAACAACCAGGAAAGTGTAGTGTTGTAAAAGCTTCAAGAAAAGTATTTCACACAGAAGGAAGGAGCCAACTATGTTTAACGTTTTATGTTAAACACTCAGGTAAGGTGAGGTAGATGGCCATTAAATCTGGCAAGATGACAAGAGTAGTTTCACTTAGCGGTGGGGAAAGACCGCCACCAAGAGCAAGTTAAAGAATGAATGGCAAAAAAAAAAAAAAGAACGGAAAGTTCTTTCGAGGAATTCTGTGATAAGGGAGAAGAAATGGAATGGTAGTTGGAGGGGTCTATGGCGTCAAATGAATTTTTTTAACTGGACAATATTAGAGCACATCTGTATGATGAAAGTATGATGAAGAGACAGAGAGAAATTACTGATGCAGAATGGAAAGATGACTGCAGAAGCTGAGTCCTGAGTAAGCAAGAGAAGACTGGATCCTCTGCACAAGTGAAGGAGGTAAGGGACACATCATCCACCATCATGGGAAGTAAGTCAAACAGCAGGGTTTCAAGTGCAGGTGGGCTGCTATGATTCCTTGGTGAGAAGATGGAAGAATTCCTGTCGCCTCTTTCAATAAAAAATAAAGCAAGATCAACAGAATAAAGGAAAAGAGGAAATATAAAGAGAGTCAAGAAAGAAGTTCTGAAGCATTATTTTATAAAAGCAAACATATTGGGGAAGTATTATATGACCACTGGGCAGGGTTGAGTGCCCATTTGTGGTTCCTATTCTCACCAAAACTTCTCCATCATAGCACTATATCCATATTTACTTGTCTGTATCTCCCACTAGACTATAAACTGTGAGAAAAGAGGCCAGTTATGCTTCACAGCTGAATGCTTGGCAGAGAACCTGGCACATTATTGCTCAATATTCCTTAAATTTTTATAAGCATGCTCACAATTTAACATATACAGTATTAAAGCACTGAGGATGCAGAGCAGAAAAGACAGCCCCTACCTTCAAGAGACTCACCTTCCAAAGGGAAGACAGACATGCAAACAGATACAGCACAATATCAAAGTGCCATCTCTCTCTCACACACACACAACACACATACACACACACACACAAAGTGAAACAGGAATATATAGGACAGTCAGGGAAAGGTTCCAATGGAAAACAGCGCTAGAGCTGAGATGTCTAAGAAGTAAAGGAATTTCCCAGGCAGCCAAGCAAAGGTAAAATAGCTTGCGATATCGGAGCATATTCTGGGAATAACAAGTAAATAATGCTGGAGGAAAAAGTACAGGGGGCAAAGGCCAGAGATAAAGCTGGAGATATGGACGGGACCACATCGTGAAAGAGCCTGTATACCCTGAAAAAAATTATTAATTTTTCTTTGGGAACCACAGACGAATTTTAAGTGAGGAGTGGCACAATCATATTGGCAAGTTAAATCAAGCCTGCAAACACAGTGGAAAATGGACTGTGAGAGAGGGACCAGAGGATGGGAGATCAGTAAGGAGGCTTACAGCGGTCAAAGAGCCTAAGTCACTGAGGATGAAGAGGTAGCAATAGATATGAAAGAGACTTACGGTACTCTCTGGCACAAAGTTGGCAAACTTCCAATCTAATCTCTTAGACAGCAGTTATGGGAGATAATATAAGGGCCCATAAATCTGATGGATAATTCCCAAAGAAATGCTGGACCCCAGTCCACATAGCCCAACAGCTCTCAGAAAACATTCTGGATTAGGCCTCCTTGCCTTTCAATCAAACTGCTTCTGTGTTTATAAACTAGGGGATACAAACTATTTTTTTTAATCCAAAATTGCTTCATCTAGATTAGAGAACAGAACAAATCAAAGCTGTGAAATGACTTAAAAAACGATTTCAAGATCAAAGACTTATTCTAAGGACAGTCTTAATGTTTTCCGTTTATACCTCCTACATAGCACTTTAAATGAGCAGAAAGGATTTTAGTTAGGTAAAAAAGGAAACTAGAAGGGCTGCCAGTACTCAAACATTACTCTAAAAAAGGGACAGATGTCCTTCTCTAGAGATATCTAACCGCAAAATAAACAGTCAGCTGCTGAGGACATTTGAAATCTAGCTGGAAGAAAAAAGTATTCTACCTCTGAGGTCCTTTCAAAGCCTACTATATTGAACAAAAAATAAAACATGTTTCTCAATCGCAATATTCTTGAAAATTTCTGGCTCCTTCTTAAACCATGGGTTAGTCTCCCAAGCATAATGGAACAGAAGAAAATGGACTATTTTCATCGGGCCCAAATAGCATCAGCCTCTTTAAAAGTGTGGTAGCATTCTATATTGGTTTAAAATGTACTGATTAATTTCCAAAGAGCATATGCTAAACAAACACACACAGAAGAAATGGAAGAAAAGAGACTGCCATAAAGAATTAAGGAACCAGGCTTAAGAATTTTCTCTTCAATCCATCCTACATACTAACACCAATTTTAAGTCTCTCCCTTACTCAGATTTTTTTAAATCATGAGATGCTTTATTATCTACAGGATAAAATTCAAATTCCTTGGCCCTAGCACTCAAAGCTCTAGCATACAGTACTACCAGTCAACATAATCTCTTACAATTCCCTCTCAGCCAAACTGGCCTCCTCCCTTCTCTTCCAACAGGAAATACATCACAGAGAAGTTAGAAACTGCCAGCATCATAAATAGGTACAAGGCTTTCCCTTCCCAACAATCAGAACAAAGGGTAAACTTCGAATACAAATTACCTATTAACACTAGTCTCCAGTTGAGGATCTGTGCTAACAAATGCCAGAGCAGATAGGATTCAGTAATGTTGATGCTGTCGAAAGAAATGCAAATAAAACTAAGAACTGTCACAAATCTTTTTCTTTTCCTGAAGGGACTTTCATTTCTCTGACCCAATTACCTGTTATCTAACAGCTCTGGAAATCTAGATTCCCCAAATTGACTCCACTATTAAAGTGCCCTTTCCCTAGGCATTCTCTTCAATGACAAGCCATCAACTTCTCACTGGGAGGGAGAGAAGGGAATTCACCAATTTTCCTTTAGCCACAATAGCCTCAAAAACAGGACTTGGCATATGGAAAAATTATCTGCTCAAAAAATCTTCTGGTTTTATCTAAAACTCTAGTATACATCCACTCTTCAGCAAACCATGTATTTCCATATAGCCCTGAAGAGTCATTTTAATCCTAGAATTTTATGAACCTAGGATGATTTTAGCATGGAGAAGTCTTCTTTAATTAAATCAGCTTTCAGGTCCTGCCCTATTCCTACTCTTTTCAGACCCAGAAGACAAAATCGTCAAAATTTACCAGAGGTTCTCAAGATTCCTTTTCCTATCTAGCTAATAAAAATTCTTAGACATGAACAGTATTTGAGGGAAAGGGAGGGGAAATCTAGAGCAAAAGGTAGTGTATCTGGGTCATCTGATGATGGTACCATATCAACTCCTGAAGGTCATAATGCTGCTACAAAGAACTGGGTCTTGGTCATCTAAGGCAAAATTCAAAGATAATGAAATATTCAATCGACAGGCTAACTCTGCAACTCCAGATCAGGCTACTGCAAAAGTCATTAAGTACTTAGGCTTACTTTAAGTTCTGTGAAAGAGAGAACGTGGAGTATCTCTGTAGTGAGTCTGAACTAGCGATTTGAATGTGTAGAAAAAGTATTCTACACATCTATAACTTTAAGCTGTAATGAAGTTGCCACTGTAAATGAAGTCCACAGACCATTTTAATGTTGTATTTTATCTGTGACCCAACTAGACTGTAAACTCGTTGAAGACAGGGAACATATACTTAATGTATCCCCAGAGCTTTTACCATAATACCTTGTTATTAGATTCAAAATACTATTGATGGCCTGACTGCTGATGATCACGCTGAGGAAAAAAATTTTAAAAACATGAATCTGGCATGTTTTCAAAGTCATGGAGCAGGCAATACCAGTGACTGACAAGGTCCACGTGGTGGCCACCTATAAACTGGACTGGCTAACACTCCCTGAGCCAAGTCTGGACTCAGTCATTGAATTCCTGTTGAGCAAGAAAGGTCAGATTTGGAGCAAAAATTTATGGTGACAGTTAGCTCTCATTAAACATGTCAGTCTACAAAGTAACAAATGCTGAGAATCAAGAAAGAATAATAAAGCTAAAATAGAACTAAGTGAACAAATACTTAGTTTAGGATAGTGAAATAACAGCTTCAGCTAAATGCCAAAGTTCAACAAGCAAAGCTCCTATATTTATATTTCTTACACTATTCATTGAAACATTTCAAGGGAAGTTAGTAATGATTAGGCCAATGATCAGTGAGATGTTTCAGAGTTGGGTTTTCCATTTTAAAAGCCTACCAACTTGAAAAGGGTGTTAAAGCTAAGTAAAAGTCGGAATAGAGTTTTCCCTGGACCAATGTGATGTGAAATGGATCACCAGGTTGAGCAGTAGCATGAAGGTAGTTTCTTTATAGATTTAATTCCAGCTCCTAGAGAGCTGTTTGGTGTCTGAAACATGATAATCTTTGAGCTTCAATTTCCCCACTCACAAAAAGAGGCAATGCAAGCTCCTCTCACAACTTCGCGAGGAAGTGATCTGATATTAAAAAAAAAAAGTACTGTGGGAATAAAATCAGCGCACCAAAGTAACACATTATTGCGATTACTTATAGAATCATTACCCGCTAGGATGAAGCTCCCCACACAAGAGATGAAGCCCGAGAGGAAAGAGTTGAAGGGGAAGGTCCCCACGAGGAGACAATAACCGAACTGCAGCGCCCCGGTCAGCAGTATATACAGGAGGTACGCATCCAGCAACTTCAGACGCTGAGGAGTGGTGCTCAAGTACTCTTCTAAGAACCGCGAGATGACCGACACTACTGAAGCCGACATGACTATAAACTGGGTGCTCGGGCCTGCACTCCCCCAATTCCTAATCTACCCGACGACCACGCCGAATGTGGCGTTTGCGCATGCGCACCGCTGTAACCCAGCTACGCCCTCCCCCGATGGTCAATTTGCGCAGGCGTAGAGGTGGGCCAAAGCGCGAAATAACTAATGCGCAGACGCAGAATACAGCTATAGAAAGCGAACTACAGCCGGAAAAAGTTAGTGCGCCTGCGCAATAGTTCTGTCATCTGACAGAAAACGTGTACCCTTTCTGTTCTATTTCCGCAGTCACGTTGGTGACGCCCGCAGTTGCTCTGGCAACAAGATACTATGAGGAAGAGCTTTAGAGGTTTTACAGACTACCGCGTAGCTACTCGAGGGTTCTGGCTGTCTCGGGTCCACCCGAGTCCTGCCCTAGTCCTACCGTTTTCAGACCTGGATCCGTATTGAGGCAATGCCTGTCGCGCCCCAGGTTCAGTACCAGCTCGGTCCTAATCCTGATAAGGGCTCTGACTCCATATGTCTGTCCCAGATCTTTAGAGCGTGTCAAATTGCCCAGCAGTGAGAACCACTGCGGCCGATCACTGCGCCAGCACCAGTTTTGAAGTGGTTATTGGGGAAGGAAGGTGCGGGGCGGAGGGAGGGAGCCCAGTAAAAGTTTGCTGAATGAATACCTTTGGGCTTAGGGCCCTAAGCTGGATTCGGCATCTGGCCCAGGGCGTGCTTACGAATAAACGCGTTAGACCCTAAGCCCAAAGGTATTCATTCAGCAGACTTTTACTGGGCACCTACTGGGGCCGACGTTGTCTACGTTGTAGGTACCTTCAGGGAAATTAGGTACCCTCAGGGGGATCAAATACAGTGGTAGAAGAGCCAGTGATGGGGGAAGAGGAGAGAATGAGGTGGGGAGGACAGCTGATTAACGTACAAAGAGTTATATGATCAAATTTAGCTGTTTTCTACTCCTAAGCTGCTATCTTGAATCCAGTGTAATATCCCAGGATGTTACCGCTGAAAGGCCTACAAGAGCATTGCTTAGTTCAACCTCTACCCACTCCCAACTCATTCTGCAGAGGAAACAAGGTTTGAGGTTTTGTATTTTAACAAGTGGTATCAAGTATTTATATTTAGCGTTTTAATTTTTTTACAAAATAAGGTCCACTTTAATTTCTGACTCTCACTACCCTTTGAATTTCACATGAATTTGACTTTCCAAACCTAGTTCATCTCACCTTTCAGCTGCAAGTCACCCATAACGAGGTACTTTTTAAGCTTATTTATAACTTTGAACTATCCTAGGTACTCAAGCGGAATTCCTAAATCAAAAACCGAATAACAACGTCCCTTCTTTTTCATTTTTATTCATGTTTAGACTGAAAACTATCACCATCAACAAACGTACTGGTTATCAGTGGTGGGCAAAGACTTGCTTAGGTTCTAGAAAGAAGAAAAATAATTTATTTCCTCAGAAAGCTTTACAGTCTATTTGAAGAGCTATATTCATATTTACACCCACAGAGATTTGCACTGCTATATACACTTAAGTTCAGCTTAAACTCTTGATGTTGCTGAGGAAAAAAAAGAAAAAAAGTGGATAACCAGGCAGGTTCCTATTTCAGTATAATATGGCAAGAAGCATCAGTTTCTCTGACAAGTTGAAACTTTCTGCTTGCCTTATCAGCAAGTAGGAGGGTAGCTTCCTCATCACTAATCAACTGCAAACTTTAAAGGCTAGGCTGATGCTTTTTAATCATTCAGGAGTGGATTCCTCAAAAGAGTTCTAGTCCACTGGCCAGGATCCTTCCAGTAGTTTCTCCCTTACGTTTTGCCTGCCTTTTATCCACGTCAACGATCCATAGCACCTCCACAGAAACTCTCAAAGAGAGAAAGCAGAATAGATGAAAACATATCAAATTCACCTAAAGAATGCATCCTTTTCTGAGAACTGCAAAGTCAAATACCAATATAATAAACTAAGGCTTTTCTGGACTACTTAAATTAGCAAGAAAAGGTCTCGTTCTGTGTTCAGTTTGAGATTCTATAATCACTGAGACATTTTTGACTGATCTGTCAATAAGAAATTGCTAATATGAGTATTGGTTTCAATAGTTTATATCGGAAAATTAATAAACGTAAAAATTCATGTCTAGAGTGGTAGATAAGTGTGCAGGCTCGAAGATCAGACAATCCTGGTTTTGACCCTTGATTCTGCTGTTCAGTAGTGATCTAATCAAGGACAAGTTAGTCTAACAGCCTCATTTTCCTTTTCAATAAAATGGAAATAACAATACCTGGATCATTGGACTGTTGTGATGATTAAATGAGATGTTAAGCATTTAGCATAGTACTTGAAACATGGTGAATGTTTGGTAAATATTTGCTGTTATTAATTATCATTAATCCTGGTAACTGTCTGCTTCTCCTATTTCTCTATAATTAAAAGTTGGCCAAACTACAGAGCCCCAGTATTTGGGGCATGCAAAAGATGGCACTGGTGAGACTACAACTCAGATGTCTCTCAAAGGGCAAATCAAAGTTATAAGTTGAAGCTGAAGTCAGAATAGACCCTAAGAGTTTTATTATTAAAACACTGTTGGAGAGCGTTACCAACAAGTCAATAGGCCCAAAATGGAGTCACTTACTCTAAGTCCCACATCACCAAATCTAGACTAAACTACGGTTTCAGCTCTCCCAGAAAGTAAATCTTAAACCAGTTGATCAGGAATTGCCTGATTAGCACTAGTTAGGCAATCTGCCTGATGCCCCTAAAGGAAAGTAAGTTTGTAATAACCCGCTTTTCTTGCCCAGTATAAATTCCTTGTTCCTACACTCTTCTGATTATAAAAGTCTTTCATGTGTACCTCTCCTCAGAGTTCCTTTCTGACCACTAGACTGGATGCTGCCTGACTGGAATCAATTTTCACTCAAATAAACTTTAAAATTTTAATATGCCTCAGTTTATCTTTTAGCAAAAGGAAAAACTTTTTCTCTCTACCCATATAGATTCATTGGCTCTGTAAATTAGACTGACAAAAGACGATTTAACAAGAGAAAAACAAACAAAAGTTTATTAACATGTGCATTGCACATACACATGGGAGCACTCAATTATGAGTAACTCAAAGAGGTGGTAAGAACTTGGGCTCATAGAGTATCTTAACAAAAAAGCAATGAATGTTTAGAGAAGCGATAAGACAAAGCATACAAGCAAAGGCCATGATTTTACAGTGTATGTCTCTACAGTAAGAAATGACATTCTTTATCAAAAGAAACACGAATCCTCCAAAAAAAAAAAAAAAGCTTCTAAAGAAAATTTCTACATGGGAAAGAACAGTCTCTTGTCTCTTTTCCAACTATATTGTATTTTTACTTTCTCCTTCAGATCCCTCCTTTTGCTTCTCTCTACTATTGCATGTAACAGCTCTGCCTTTTAAACTTTGGCCCCAATGTGGCCAAAATCTCCTTTCTTATATGATATTATGATATAATAAAAATATATATATTTCGTCTTCATCCTTGGTTCCTGGCACAGAGTTCCTAAATCCTTTGTAATTTCCTAAGAGCAATTTTTTGTTATAATATTTGATTTTGTCCTCAGTTCCTGAAATAGCTCCAGAGCAATAACAATGAAAGGAGCATCTTTTGTATTCATAAGAAGCCCTTTTCAACTGAAGGGGTTCAGAACAGGCCTCCCCAAGAAAAGCCACACTGGCATGTGAATTATTTTGAGCTGAAGTCGATCAAGACCCTGCAGGCTCACAAGAAATTTTTACCTCTTTCTTAAAGAATTTAAATTAGGGTCATTGCCTATAATAAGAATCATCACCAGAAATAACTTTATGATTCATCTATAGGGCAGGGCAAACTTCTAATTCCTGAATATCTTCTCTTTTTCCTCAGAATGACCTTCCTCCTCTCTGGAGCTCCATGGTGCACTGCCTCATCCTTAGCTCAAAATGCCAGTTATGCTTAATTTTCTCTGTCTCTGAACCTTTCATGTATGCGAGGTCTCTAACTCTTTCATGTATTGGGGATTCCTATATGAATGTATGTAATTAAATTTGGTTTTCTCTTATTAACCTGTCTCAAGTCTATTTGATTATCAGACCAGCCAAAAGAACCTAGAAGAATAGAGGAAAGCTTCCTCCTTCCCCACACAACCACACTTGAGTTTATGTTATAAAGTGACTTTTGGAAAGCCCCTGTGGGTGGGGGCCAGCTGCTAGGGGAACCAACCATGTGATTAGCAGGCTGGAAGTTTCAGTTCAACGGCCCCACACACAATCTCCAGATGGGTAAGAGGGACTGGAGATTGCATTCAGTCACCAAAGGCCAATAATTTAAGCAATTCTGCCTATGTAATGAAGCCTCCATTTAAAAAATCCCTAACTGCTTCTTGGCCTTTTGGCTAAGATCAAGTGTAAAAAATCTCTAACCAAAGGGATTCAGAGAGATTATCGAACACATCCAAGTGCTGAAAGGATTACACAGCCTAAGAAGGCATGGAAGCTCTGTGCCCCTTTATTCATGCCTCACTCTATGCATCTCTTCATATGGCTTTTCCAAAGTTGTATTATTTTATAATAAACCAGAACCTAGTAAGCAAACTGTTTCCTAGGTTCTATGAGCCTTTCTAGAAAATTATTGAACCTGAGGAGGGAGTGGTGGGAATTTCCAATTTATAGTTGGTCATCAGAAGCACAAGTGAACAACCTGGACTTGAGATTGGTATCTGAAGTGGAGGAAGGGGATAGTCTTGTGGGACTGAGCCCTTAGCCTATGGAGTCTGCACTAACTCAGGGAAGTTAGTGTCAGAATTGAGTTAAACTGTCGGACAGCCAGTTGATGTCCTCCAAGAATTGGAAAAATTCTTGATGTGAAAACTCCCACATATTTGGTGTCAGAAGTATTGGTGCAAGTACAGAAAAAAAAAAATCATTTTTTTCTTTTACCTTGTTTTCTAATAGATTAATAGGTTATTTGCAGAAGGAAATTTTTAAGAGGAATCAAATTGCAAACAGCACAAAGTCAAATTTCTAAAATATCAAGTTTCTGATCTAAGTCCTAGTAAAGCAGCAAGTATCTTCAATAAGCCCATGTCCCTTTATCCTATCACACTGTCTTTTCTGGAGGGGAACAACTTTGCAGCCTCCTTTATCTGATTTCCTTCCCTCCTAGTTCTTTGGGGGGTCCCATGAAGAGAAGTCCTCAGTCATGCTCTGACCTTGGCACCCAAGCCAGAATCTACCATATTGTCCTTTCCAAGAGCAGTACACTCTCCACACGTGTGACTGAATTCATCGGTGCTTGAGCAACATCGTCCAATAGAATTTTCTGTGATGATGAAAATATCTCTATGCTCTCCAGTATGGTAGCCACCAGACACACGTGGCTATTGAAAAGTAGCTAGTATAACTAAGAACCTTTAATTTTTATTAATTTAAATCTAAGTAGCCACATGTGGCTAGCAGCTATCGCATTGGACAGAGCAAGTTTAGAGCTATTCCACTTAGTTCCTATGTTTAATCCAAGGGTCACACCTTGTTCAAAGTTCATTCAAAAGGCAGTAACACCCATTCAAACCAAAGAATGATCCATCCCTGCCAGACCTGTGCTATCAGGTTATTAGCTCCACCTACTTCTGGAATGCTTAATGTGATTTACAGGCACAAAAAGAGGGTTCGTCAAAATTAGTTTTTATCTATAAAGACCATATTAATACTTTAATCATACATAAAACCACATATTTGGAGATAGAAGGAAAATATATTCTTTCATACTTGTACATAGTGTATCTTGTCTTAAAGATAAGAAAAAAGTACCTGACTTTTCTCCCAGAGGCCTGCCTAAAGCAGGCACCGAGAGTCTTTTCCACTCTATAACTAGTAGGTCCAGCTCAATCCTGAGATATCCCAGCTGTGAGGACACCTTGAGGGATCTACTAACTTTAGTATAAGAGGCATTTTCCGTATGTTCAAGTTTCCTACTTCCAAGCAACCTTTAATGTAAGGCTGGTTTGGTACATGGAAACAAAACACAAATGCTTCTCTGCACTGCCTCCTGAGATGAGGTCTAGAGAGATCGACTACCAGTTCCAACCAGCTCATCTTTGCCTCGAAAAGTTCTACATCTTAAAAGTCTTCAGAAAAGTGAGAGATTTTGTTCCCCTGTCTCGAAGTAATATAGTCTGGAATTTCCTTTATGGTACAATTTAGAATGCAGCTCTCAAAGCCTCTGACAGCACGTCATTTTATAGGTAATTGTTTACACATCTGCCTTATTAGACTTTTCATCCATTTATTTATCTAATAACTACTGAGCATCTACTGTGTGTGACATCCTGGTGCTGGCAGCAAAGCAGAAAACAAAACAGACAAGGTCCCCCAGGAAACTTAGGCTCTAATAGAGATAATAAACTGATAATAAATGAGTAAACAAATATGCACAATAATGTCATGTAGTGATAAGTGTTATGAAGAAAATAAAATAATGTGATAGAGTAACTGGAATTCTCTTTTAGACCCTGTGGTCAGGAAAGGCCTCAGAAGAGGGGAGGTTTGAGGTGAGCTCCCAATACAAAGATGTGAGCTCTGCAGAGGGACAAACAGCCTAGAGTAGCAGCAGATAGAAAGTCTCTGTTTACCACTAGAGCAGGCTATTTCTTTCTTGTTGATAATGGTATTCTTGGTGCCTAACGTAATGCTTGGCTTTGAATAGGTATATAATAATTAATAATAATAATAATAATAATAATAATAATACAATAAGTAACATTTTTAGCATAAATAAATGCCCTAAAATTTTATTTGGATTACCTTGGTTAATCCTCACAAGACACAAGACACAAGACAGTGGAAGAAAACTGAGGCACTAAATAACTTACCCAAGGCCGTCCAGTACATAAGTGGTAAAACCAAGATTGACCTAAACCCAAACTTCTGACCCCAGAAACTATGCTTCTAATTAACCAAAATGTATCATAGAACTCCAGCATCTGAAGTGCTTCCTAAAAATGCAGCTTTTAGCATCAAGCCAAACCAAATGAATTAGAATCTCAGAGGGTAGAAATCGGAAACCAGAATTTTTAACAAGCCCTCCAGATGATTCTTAGGCACACTGGAGTTAAGAGCCACTCTACTTTGTTGAAAGAATGTAGAACAGAGACAGATCCTCTGCTACTCACACTACTTTGCTCCACATATTGCAAATTCCTAGGTCCCTGAGCTCTATAAATACCTATTCTCTTAAATTTTAAGCCTTTATAATAATAATCAGATCAGTTTAACACCATGATACAAGAAAGACGAAATCTCCTGAGTCCTGCGGCACAGCTAAAGAAAAACACCTTAACAAACCCCTTGGCACCAGAATTCTCCCATCCACCTCCACCAACCCCTAGTCTGGTTTTAACCTAACCAAGGGATGACCTGAAATCTGACAGCTGTCCATCAGGCCCTGTTTATCAGTTCAGGTGAAATCTGGAGCCAGCCTGAAGATTTGGCTCCTCTGCTGAGCAAGCTTCAAGTACACTCAGAATCTCTGTGCTGAGCCAGCCACCGTAGCCCCACAAGTCCCCATACTCCATTCCAGGAACCTAAAGGAGACCCAGACTTATAGGTTAGTCCTTCAACTGCCACTCCTGAGGAGAGAGGAGGCAGAAATCCTCCAAACTGTGAGAGACCTGTAGTTTAGCCATATCTTCTTGGGAAAGAGGTTGGAAAATCTCCAGAGCAAAGGGAATACATCCTGGCATATGTCACTGAGGTTTAGGGTCACGAGATAAAATACAGGAGGCCCACTTATGTACCAAATATTGCACAGGACATACTTAGTGTACTAAAGTTGTTGTTTGCCTAAATTCAACCTGTTTTTTATTTACAAAATCTGTTAATCTACTTGGGGTACAGGCTTCTAGGCCCTTTGTAGGAGCATTCAACTAGTGATGTGGTCTCCACAAACATCATGAGCATCTGAGTAAAAAGAACACCAGGACTTGGGCTGGGGGCGGGGACAGCGCGGGGAGCCCAAAAAGTGTGTGCGAGCCAGAGTGCAGAGATAGTTCTGTCACTTTTAAATTATTAGAGAATGGAGGACTGGTGGAGCTCGTGTGAGGTACTCAGTTTTTCAGTACTATTCATCTCCCTCACTGTCCCCCAAATGTGTAACCAGGCCTACCGTCCTATTCTGTGAGACCGCAGAGACCTCTCCTCCTACATTCTGGCCCACCCACCCGCAGAGGTTCAAGGCCAGAGTCCGAGGGGTGCAGGGGGCGGGGGCGAGGAGGGGCTCCCGGCCCGGCGCGCTGGCCACGCCCCACTTTGTTATCCTACCCTTTTCTGGGTCAGCTGGTGCTGGCGTCAGGCGGAGGGATGGGCTGGCTCGGATCGACCCGGCAGGGCTTGTTTACTATGGCTGATGATCTGGAGCAGCAGTGAGTTAATCCTGTCTCTTTCTCTTTCTCTCTCTCTCTCTGGGCCATGATCCTGGGACTGTCTGTGGCTGAGGAACACTTTTAGACACCTTCCCGCCTTTCCTGTTTCAGGTCGGCCTCAGGGGAGGGGTGAGGGCTGCGTTTGTTTGCTTTGCTTTTGCCCAGAAGAGGCGGCAGCCGAGCCGGGGGGAGCGATGGGAAATAAGTTTGCCTGCAGCTCAGCGACTCTCCGCGTTAGTCTTCCAGATCGCTCCTCGTTGTCCTCTAGCCGCTGTACTCTGGCAATAGATTTAGTGGGAATGCCTGAGATCCCGAAAGCACGCTTGCGGGACGCGGATGCTGGGGTAGCAGCCAGGTCTGCTGGTCTGGATTTGCCCCAGGATGGCAGTTGGGGGTGTGGGAAGAGAAGAGAAGGCTCCACCGTTCTATAATTGGTCTAACTGGAATAATGGCTTGCAAGTTTTCTTTAGTGCTCGCTCACCAAGACGCTTTGGAGCTTGCGATGCTAGTTGATGATGTTTTTAATCGTCATAACAATAGCCTTTATGTTGTGGTCTCAAAATTAGAGCTTTTGAGATTTATCACTGCCTCAAGGCATCAGGTTTGGGATGCCACCTGTAGGTGGTGTGACTAGCCATTCGCAGTGTGATAGGAGCCAGGCAAAGTTGCTTCCAGAAGAATGACTCAGCTCGCAACCAAGCCTTGGTTTCATCAGAACAGGGCCTTTCCTGGATCCTGTGTTCCCCCTTTTCAGAGCTGCACAACCAGCAGCTTGCAAAACGAATTAACTTTATACCAATAGCTTCCTGTTCTTCAAGGAACAGCCCAGGGGACTGTCGCTTTTTAAGATGACTTTTCCAAGAGGAAATGTACAGTAGCTACAACGACTTAGGAAAATACATGTTAGGTCTAGTTGAGATACAGGTAGTTCAGCTCTTTTTTACAAATGAAGAAGCCAGTGCCCATAGAAGTTAGGAGACTTGCCCAAGATCACAGAAGTCCAAACTCAACACAGAACCCCTTCTGCCTTACCCCTATCAAGATAAAAATGCTTTAAAGGGAAGAGACCACCCCAGGCAGGCTAAGTTTATGGCTAAGTGGCTTCTCCGCTCCTTGCCTCAGTCTACACGACTCCCCACCTGCCCACAGCCCTCATCTCCCCAATTGTATTGAGCAGATCTAGTATGCCAGGCACTATTTCCAGTGCTGTACCTGTAACATTTTGGGGGAAGAAGAGAGGCAAAATAAAGCTCCCCCAAATATCTGAGCAGTCCATGGTACTGTTCTATGGAACATTTCTCCTGAGTGCCGCTTTGGGCAAATACAATGCAATGCGGGGTCCAGATGCCTTGGTCTAACTTGTTACAGTCTCTATGATGTGGAAAGTTTATCTCTGAAGACTAGAAAAATTCTGTGACCTTGGCGGTGTGCGTACTTCAAGCTTACAAAAAATTCCAGTGGAGAATCAAAAGGGTTCGGAGTCTCCGTAGGATTGGATTGATTGAAATTGACAATTCTCATCTGGCTATAAAGTCATTGAAGTACCACTCTCAGCTGCAACTTAAGTATTTATTTCAAACCTCAGTCATTGAGAATTGTTACTTGCAAAACACTGGAAATGTTGACAGCTTATGATTTAGCTGGGGGAAAAAAGTTTATTGGGAGTTTATCTTGTCCTAGGCATTATGTGTTTTAGGTGCATTCACTCATTTAGTCTTTAGAACAACCCTATGAGGTAGATACTATTATTACCCTCCTTTTAAAGATGAGGAAACTTTGACATAGAAAGACCAGAGTTACATTGCTGATAAATGGCAGTGACTTACCAGCCAGGATTAGAACTCTGGCCTTCTGGCTTTAGATTACATCTCCTTTCAGAAAACAGAGACCAGTGTGAACATGATTTTACATACTGTGAGTATTCATGTAAGGCCTTGAAAAGCTGAGGCTGGAACATCCACAGAAGAGGTATAGAGAAACCTGGATTTGGGATTTGGGTTCTAGTTCTGCTTTTTCTGACTAGCTGTATGACCTCTTTAGACATCGGTTTGCTCGAATGTAAAATAGAGAGACTAGGCTAGGTGGTTCCTAGGGAACCAACCTAATCTAAAATTCTGTGCTTTAAATGATGTACCAGGATGCTCAGTGTATACTAAGGGGGTAAAGGAAGTGAGAGTTACCCTTATTCTCCCACAGAATGCCCCTGTGTGACCATGCCAATATTCACAGGCCCTTCCTATAGCTGGTGTTATCCATCCTATAATCTCCTTCACCCAGGCGGAGATCAAGGAAAAAGAAATATCATATGAGATGGATAAGAAATAATAAAAGTTCATTCATTGAGCATCTAATTTGTCCTAGGCATCTTACAAGTTCCCTTAAATATCTAGACCTTCAAAGACAGGTTGTTTATCAAGCCAAAGCCATTCTGCTCATAAATAATAATACTGTGACTCAGATTTTTAATTCCAAAACTGGTGCTGTCAACTTCTACTCAGCAATGACTTAAAGTCCTCTAAGTATGAAGGAGAAAGCAAGATAGGGTATCTTATCGGTTTTATTGTATGCCATGGGAGGTGAGGACTATGTGAGGTTTCTACTCATTTTATAATCTGGAAAACAAGGCCAGAGGCAACCTGTGTCCAGTCAGTGAATCACAGCAGATCCTGAACCCAGGTTTCCCGCCTCCTGCTCCATGCCTATCCCATCTTGTTGCTTGAGGATTGCCTGAGAACCCACCTGGGCACTGGCAGCACTCTGTACTTCCAAGGACTTGGAAGAGGGCACACACAAACCCCAGTGCCCTACCAGGAAGGGAGTTGGCAGGGGAATTTGTCCTACTCTAAAGGAGAAGGAGCGTCCAGTCCCAGGGATAGCAAAAGATAACTGAAACATTAGTTTAAAATTGGCTGTTTTTCCCCTTGTGATCTCCTCGAACATTATGAAAACCAGTAACAAAGGGGATTATAAAGCTCAAATGAGATAATAAATGTAAAAGTGCTTTGAAAACTGTAAAGTGCTATGCACCTGATATTCTGAGTGTCTTTGAAACAAAGAGCATGTTGTTAATAGCCATTTACTGGAGAAGAGTAACAGTCTATCAGGCAGTGAGGGAATTGCTGACTGCCATAGTGGGAGGTCTCCTGAGCCTGGGAAACACCCTGCACCCTGATAACTCTTTTGTAACTGTCAGAAAGGCTTAGGGCATCAATGTTTCCTTTCCATTGTTGCCAATGAGTGTTTCTGCGTCTCCTTGTCCCAGGCCTCAAGGCTGGCTGAGTAGCTGGCTGCCCACTTGGCGCCCTACTTCGATGTCTCAGCTGAAGAATGTGGAAGCCAGGATCCTCCAATGTAAGTAGAAGAGATGGCTTGTGCCACCTCCCTCAGGAGAATACAGGATCTTCCCAGAGCCTGGTACACTGAGTCCAGACTCCTGATTAACAATGCTGGGGGGGCGGGGGCGGGGGGACGAGAAGTTGTCAGTGATCTGAGAGGAGATTTCTACGGAGAACACCATATGCTATGATAATGGTTCCTTGATGTCTCCCTCCCTATGCACCGTGCCAGCTCCTGCCACATCCCACAACTTCACCTCCAGCCCTATACCAGCTAAAAGCACACAACACATACAAATATACACATTCTCTCCTTCCTTTCTTCCTTCTCCCCCTAGTTCTCTCTTTTTCCTCTCCCTCTCTCTTCTTCCAAACACACAATCACTTCTTAGATTTACCACCTTCCTGCCCGAGGACCAGCAGCCCATAGTCTCTAATATTACTAATGCCCCACCACTTCTCTGGTTTGGGACAGGAGTTTGGGATTCCCAGAGACCAGATCTCATGGGCAGTGTTATATTGGTGCAGAGCATCCCATGAACACCTGCGGCCACTGGCTGAAACAAGACCCTTGGGCCACATCTCCCTGTATTTCTCTTGTGAGCTTACCCACACAGTACCACTGCCTTAGCCATGGGCTACCCTCTCTCTTATGGGCCTGAATAAGTGCAGTCAAAAAACAGTCACAGCTTCCAAGCTTTTGTCCAGGATCCAGGTGACTTCCCCCAGGCAGCTCTGTCATGTGACTGCCTTCAGGCAAGCAGAACAAGCACTGCCCACCTCGGTCTGTCTCTAAGAGAAATATGCCCGTGGCTCAGTTCACATCCATCACCCCCTCCATCTGGCTCACCTCCAGTGAGAAGCTACCCTTCCAGATACCCTCAGTAAGGGTATTTCTGTACATCTGTCAAGCCCCAGACACACAGGTACGAGAGCAATGGATGCAGGAGCTCTGTGAGGTCAGTGGGGTCACTGCCACCTTGGGGCCCAAAAGGAGCCAGGCAAACAGCCTCAAGGAATAAAATGGCCCCTCTTATTACCTACAGACTAGAAGCTATACAAATTGTCGAAGTTGAACTCAGGGTATATGGGGAGAGGGTCATGAAAGGAAAGAGGTGAGGGAAGTCAGGAAGGGTTTGGGAATGGAAGGACAGAGCTGAAGAGTGGAAGTCCAGGCAAAATGATGATGCTGTCGGAAAACAGACTCACCGCTCTGCCATGGATCCCCTTTCCCCAGGTCTCCAGAACAAGTTCCTGGCCCGATATGTGTCTCTCCCAAACCAGAACAAGATCTGGACAGTGACCGTGAGCCCCGAGCTCAGAGACCGCACCCCCTTGGTGATGGTGCATGGCTTCGGGGGTGGCGTGGGCCTCTGGATTCTCAACATGGATTCACTGAGTGCCCACCGCACACTGCACACCTTCGACCTGCTTGGCTTCGGGCGAAGCTCAAGGCCAACATTCTCAAGGGACCCAGAGGGGGCCGAGGACGAGTTTGTGACTTCCATAGAGACATGGCGGGAGACCATGGGGATCCCCAGTATGATCCTCCTTGGGCACAGTTTGGGAGGATTCCTGGCCACTTCTTACTCTATCAAGTACCCTGAAAGGTGAGGAGAAGCCGCCCTCTTGATCATAACTAACTCCTTGCCTTGCCGGGAAGCTCCCGGTATTAGTTTCCAATAGTTCTCTTGTTCCTGGATGATTTAAGGGCTATGATACCTCCAAACGAATGCGGCTTCTCCTTTGTCTTCCTTTAGAGTTAAACACCTTATCCTGGTGGACCCGTGGGGCTTTCCCCTCCGACCGACGGACCCCAGCGAGATCCGTGCACCCCCAACCTGGTTCAAGGCTGTGGCCTCTGTCCTCGGGCTTTCTAATCCACTGGCTGTTCTTCGAGTAGCTGGGCCCTGGGGTGAGTAACCTACAGATAAAAAAAAAAAACTATCTCCTCAAACTCTGGCTGTCCCATTCTAGAAGCCCCACTGTGTCTGGACTCTCATCATCCCCCATCATCCCCAGCTTGTTCTTAAAATGTTCTTAAAATCTGGCATTGTTATTTAAAACTTTTAATCTGGACCAGATCTCTTTATCTGCAGTTTCAGAAGATTCTTTCTTTCCTTCATCTGCATGGAAAAGGCTTTCCTACCAAGGCACAGATGGAGCAAAACTACTGTGTCTTAGCTTGATCCCCAGAGAAAGGGAGAAAAGGGCCATGAAAGAAGAGGAAGGTGACTCTCTCTTCCTCTGCTGAATTCTTATGCTGCATGTGTGAATTTATGGCAACCTGTTGGCGATTCAGCATGGTACCACCACTGGCTCCCATCTCTGCAGCTGATCTAGCACCTGCAGCAGGGAGATGTCAGAACCAGAGTCTCCAGCACAACCCACAGTGTCAGGCAAATCCCTCGAAACCATGCCCTACTCCAGTCAGACACATCTTCACCATTCAGCAGCTGTCAGCAAATTCTGTGGCTGAAGGGAGGGAAGGAGTTTGGGGAGAATCAGCCAGAGTAAGTGGAATTAGTAGGTCCCAAGCTTATAACCTCACCCTACCAGCACCGTTTTTGTGGAGTTTTTACTCTGATAAAGTGAAAAGCAGATTCCCTTAATGGAAAAGCTTGATGACCTTCTATCTTACACTAATGGCTTATGGATACATCGTAATGTTCAATAGCCCATTATTATGAGTTAATTACTAATGGCTAAGTAAGAGTTGTCTCTTTAAGCCCTTCATGAGAAACAGAATACCTCTGATAAAGAAAAAACTAGCATTCGAATAGAAAGTAGAAGTTTAGGAAAAGCTCAACTCTCACCACTCTCCCCTTTCCTGGACTTGCATCTGGCCAAGTTCATGCTTGGGCATCAGAGTTAGTGTGGGTGGGGCAGTTGGCTAGCAGCCATGGAAGAGGACCAGGGCCCAGGGTGTGCCCTGGCTGTGCCTCTCTCTCTCACCTCTTGCTTCTCATATGCAGAGAGAAGACCAGAAGAGAAAAGAGAGAGAGAGATCAGAAGTTGACCATTAGGCCCAATTTTTGCAGTCTGTTTTGGGTGCCCTACTGCATGTTCATGAACTACATAAAGAAGAGAACAGATTGCTCTAAAACTGCCCCGAGTCTGAGATGCCAGGGTTCAGTTTGCCTCTCCACTCGTATTCCGTTACAGGTCTGAACATGAGCAGGCTCTTGGGAGGTGGTCTAGTTTCATCCACTACCTTCAGAAGATTAAAGGCTATTAGGGTCTCAGGAAGGAGAGAACACAGCCCAGACTGTAAAAGGATAGTCTCTCAACCATGGACTCTTGTGGTGCTTGTGATCCTTGGAGAAAAAGATCATTGAGCTGAAAATAATCTGGTTCCTCAGTGACGTTAGACTGTTAAAAACTCTTTGGTAACCAACTGACTCTCATTTGTAGTCATCTGA